TTATTATTATTATTATTATTATTATTATTATTATTATTATTATTATTATTATTATTATTATTATTATTATTATTATTATTAAAATAGAGAGGGCCATCATAAGCGCGCCTTGCTTCTTCCTACTTGCTCTGCCTGCCCCCTGGGCTCAGCGCGATGCCAACCTTCGGGACAATCTTCAATTTTCCCGCCAAAATGGACTGCAGCCTCAGATGGGACGGAGGCGGCCCTCCGTCTTCCCGCCGACTAAAACCGTCGGAAGATGAGTCCGCCCAGTCTTTCTTGCCCAGAAATGCCTGTGAGAAGGGCTGGCGCCCGGCTCTCACCCCAGTGATGACCGCCGAGTCCCCCGAGCAGAAGAGCAGAAAGAGGAAGGGAAGGCAGGGCAGGCTCTTCATGGCGTCCTCCGGTATTTATTTATTTTGTTATGTCTGTCCCGAGGCTGCGTCGGCAGCTCTGCCCCTCCGGACAGCAGTAACGGGAAGAAGAGCAGAGCTTGAGCTGCGGTCGCCGGAGCCGTTTTAAAGCCCCGGGCTGCCATTCAGAAGCAAGATGAGTCACTTCTCGAGCTACCCCGGCAACGCTGCTGTGCCGTCGGGGAGAGGGACCGGAATCCATACACGCCAATCCATACGAAAGCGCGAGCTGAAATACGAAAGCGCACCTCACCATATAGAGGAGGTACCCGCGGCTAGATACAGAGAAGAGCAACGCAATTCCTGGGAACTAAGGAGAGGCTGAAGGCGATCATGGAAAGGGTTTCAGGGCGATGTGAGCCCCCTTAGGGAAAGCTTTTACAACAGGAGCTGTAGTCTTAGCCAAGGGAACAACAATCACAGTGACACGGTAAAGCACTCAGAAACATACATGCAGATCTCATTAGACAGTCATCATCTGGCTGAGAGGTAATTTCATGGCCAATTAAGGCATGCAAATAAAAAAGAGACAGAATCTGGTGGTGTAAGATATGTACCCTACTTGGTGTGAGTATAAGAGGCACTACTCAAATTTCTCACACTATTAAGCATCTTTTAGTACAGTAGTTTGGGACAAATTCCTTGCAACTGTTTTTAGAATCTGCCCCTTATTCTCATATCCCTTCTGGGTGTTCCCCAAGTTAAAATAATAGGAAATAAATAAATGGAGAGACAAGACCAGACACCAAGCAAGATAAGGCACCTAGCAATATTGAATTGGATACATAAGCAGCAGATTTTCCACTAGAAAATCTCTCATTATTTTGAAAATAGGGAGAAAGATCTATGTCAGTGTTTCTTAAAGTATGGTTGTAGGATCCCTAGGGATCCCCCAAGATCCAGTCAGGGTCCATGAAATATAAATTATTTGCCAGCCTATGTTGAAAAAATAATACAATATTAAAGTACTACCACTCAGCAGTAGCAACAGTGAATGCATCGATTTTAGTATTTCATATGATAAATATAACCCATACAAACAAAAGGGGGTCCTCCATAATTTTTTAAAATGGAAAGGAGTCCTGAGAGAAAAATGGTTACCAAACATTCTATATCCCTAAATATGTTTCAGGATACTGTTAAAGCAGAATAATACGAAAAAGCCTCTTCTCCCCTATGGAACTTTGACGATCTACTCTTTTAGCATGTTATAAAGAAATAGCACTGATATAAGATTTCTTCCTGAAATGAAGTAGTGGGACTCTCTTCTCTTCTCCTGGCCTTCATTCTAAGTATCGTAGAAAATTGGTGTAAAACATGGAAAGAGGAGACAATATCGAAGGTCACAAAAATCACTTAACATAGCTAGTTTAATGAAAAGAAGGGGTGATGTGATAGCAGTCCTCCAATACCTAAGGGGCCGCCACAAAGAAGAGGGGGTAAATGTATTCTCCAAAGCACCTGAAGGCAAAACAAGAAGCAATGGATGGAAACTAATCACGGAGAAAACCTAGAAATAAGGAGAAATTTCCTGATAGTTAGAACAATTAATCAGTAGAATGACTTGTCTTCAGAAGTTGTGAGCACTTCATCACTGGAGGTTTTTAAGAAGAGATTGGACAATTATTTGTCTGAAATAGTATGGGGGTTGGATTAGAAGATCTCCAAGGTCCCTTCCAATTCTGTTATTCAGTTATTCTAATGCAGAGGTCTCCAAACTTGACAACTTTAAGACCTGTGGATTTCAATTCCCAGAATTGAAGGAATTCTGGGAGTTGAAGTGCACGAGTCTTAGAGTTGCCAAGTTTAGAGACCTCTGTTCTACAGCATGAAGGAATTTAGAGGACAATGGCTGCACCAAGGCCTTATTTAGGACCATCAGGAACAGGTTTAGGCCTTTCAAAACTCCCAAATTTTACCTCTGATCACATCCACAGCAGGTCACCTGACCTCCCAGATACTCTATGAGCAAGAATGATACTATTCGGACATTATGAAGTTGTGGTGGAAGAGCCTTGGTTTCATGCTACTTGAAACCCAATATAACGCAAAACTATTAGTTTCACTTATGGCCTGGGAACATCAGGTTTAGGTAGAAGACTAGATTGTCAGGAGATGACGGGACAAGAGGGGACAAGGTTTCAAGTTTGACTATTGCTAGGTTGAATGAAGTTTTTGAACTTTATTCAAGTTCAAAATTTATTTGAACTTTCATTTGTACAATGAAAAAAATACTGCAGAATTGAAAAGTTGAAAACAAATATGTGTTCTAAAATAGATATTTGAAGGATAAAGGCTAAGATTTGTGAGCGGTTTTTAATTTGTGTGTCAGTCCTGTTTTACAAACTGCAGATTCATTTTAAAAATCTCTTTTTTGTTTTATATATTTTGCACAGATATATTTTCTTAGCTTTTTCTAAATTCAGACTGCAAAAACATCCTCTATTCCTCCAACACACATATACATGATTTTTAAAATAATCTCATGGTTTATCAGAGGCAACTTTTCATTCATTTGAAAAGACAATCCTGGTTTCTTTTTAAAATCATGTCTGGCATCACTTTCTTATAAGATTACTATTAGATGTTTATGATCTAACAATTTGACACTCAAAATTAAAGTCTCAGTCAATAATGCTTGACTCAATCATAATTTTAATCTTAAAAATACTAAGGTCATTTGAAAGGGATGTACGTGGAAATAATTTACTACAGGAATAAAAGGGCCTTGCAGGAATTCTTGCACTTCTACAGCATTGTTTCTCTTACACTATTGTTCTGAATGGTGGCCAATTTATATTCATTACATAATTTAATAAACATACTGTAAGCAATATTTTTAAACTATATACATTTCTGAGGAAATGGTATCATAGTTCAGTTGTCCCATACAAGAACTTGGCTAAGAATGAAAATTTTAATTTAGTGTGGATTTCCCTTTAAGTGAAACATGCATGTATTTTGGTATGAAAATTATATTATTTTCATGTTTCTCTTGTTTCAGTTTAGAAAACCAATTCTGAATGCTCACCCACTTCCCGCCTGTTTAGATCACTGATAAAATGCTACTGTGGTGGAGGAGGGGAGAGACCCAATAAATTCAACTCTGCTCAGTGCAGGAACCAAATATTTATCTGTTTGAACTCATACAGCAAAGTCAGAATTTTCCTCAGTTATTGCTTCTACTGCAATAATCTTAGGAAGTTTTCCTCAATGTTCACCTGAAATCTACCTTCCTATAATTTTATCGTTCTCTTTTCGAGCAACAGAGAATTGTAGTGGCTCATATAATGTCCACTCATCCTGTGCTGTCCAAACAATTGGCTTGCTTCATGTCTAATTGATTAAGCAATGACATTTAGCAGGACCTTCTCTGTCACTGCACTTGCCCTTTTGATTAGCATCCTGTTGGACCTTGATTCCTCCCCCCCCCCCATTTACTTTTAAGTGCTCCTTAAAATTATGGCTTTCCCTTAAAATGTGAACTTTGGATTAAAAATTGATGGAGGAGGTAATGTGGAAAGGTGATCTTGTTTCTTTGGATGGTTGTTGCTCTATGGATCCTTGTGTTTCAATTCCTGATGGAATGGAAATTCTTTAAATTTTGTGAAGCTGCCAAGAGTCATTTGGGGTTACATAGTTAAACTTATTTTAGTAGTGCAATAGTTTCTTATATGAATTTATCTTGCACCGTATCAATCTGTTAGGAGAAGCAATTTTTTTTGAGAATCTTGGCTTTGACCTACTCCTTTTCTTTTATTGCTTTAATGTACTGTTCAATAAAAAAGCTCATAAAAACAAAGAAAAAAAGGAAAATAAGAACATATTATATTACATAAAGAAAGGGTTACTTAGCCCAATATTTAAATCCATCATTACACTGTTACCACCTGGAATACTACAGTATTGAACAGTTTTTCTATTATATTGATAGAGAATTCACGGGCAGAAAGTGAAATATCAATAATTCAGACTTGCAATGTCTTTCCAACATTAAAGAATAATGTTTTTAAATTATCTTCATTGCATTCTATTTAAGAAACCCCATTTGCTGTCATAAATGTAAGATATGGTCCTGCACTTTTGAACTAAAGAATAGGGCTAGGTTTAAAAACTGAGTGAAAAATTAAATCACACAATAAGCAGCTTCAATCTCAAATTTACATATCGGCTAAAATCCATGAGGGCTGCTGTGGAAAGCTTTCTTCCAACTGCAGTTGACCTATCCAAGCCAGTCATCCTGGGCAAAACTGCTTGTTGGAGTCCATTTTCTGGAAGTCACAGGTTGAGCACGATAAACATTATTTACCAGTAATGGCTCTGGACTTGGACTATATTCACCCTCTGGAAACAAGATCCTTTCACAAGTTAATTACAATGGACATGTTGCAGAAGACTTTTGAGGATTAATTGAGGTGTCACCTGTAGATGTTATAGCAGATGTTCGCTTTTAACCTAGTCTATAGCTATGGTAGAAAATACCTAAGGAGAGTGAAATCTTTCTGTTTCAGGTACCTAAAAAAAGATGAGAGAATACACTAGAGGTTTTCTTAAGCACAGGGAAATGTAGGAAGCTCAAGGAAAGAAAAAAGTAATTTTAAAAAGTCAGATTTCAAACCAGCAATTTTCTCTTTACAAAAGAGAATTATAGTTAATTCTGCTATAATAATGTCATAGTTATTTTTTTAAAGCAACTTTAGAGAACCTGGAAACAATCAAAGGGAAGTTCCTTTCTCTGAAAAGTATTCTGTGAACCATTACTGGGTGTAGCGTGCAACAAACCTAACTGTGATACACCAAATGGATGAGGAAACTTCATAAATGTACTTGGGAAGTGGGAGAGAAAAGTGTGGTCTCTGGTCACAGGGAGTAGATGGATTAATTGAGGGGAGTAGGCTTTCCCTCTTTTTTTATCAAACCAGCTGGAAACTCATTTGAATTATTTCTGAGGTAGGCACATATTTCCATTATAAAAATAAGTGTAGGAAGCTGAAGTGCTCTCTGAGTAACTGAACTTTTTGCATGTTAACAAAATAAATGGATAGCTTTTAAAACCTCAGGTTCTTTTTATGCGCAAGTGCGCAGCTATTTTTAGATTTTCAACAGAGTTGGTAAAAATAAATCTATTTTAACT